CCTTGCTCCTGTTTAGCTTTGGTGCCATAACAAAATTGTAAGAACAGACCCGCACACCAAGTGTTTGACAGAAAGTGTGAGCGAATAAACTTGGAATTTGAGGAATATGTGACTTCTCACAAACCCCAAATATGAATTATGAATGCATCACTACACAAAATCAATAACTAATGCCACAAATATGTAGAAATTCGATATTTAAAGATGTGGGTATGCTTGAACAAGAGTGAGACACAAGAGATTTATAGTGAAGATATTGAGTGGGGTTTTAATGAGATTGTGGTCAAGTTTTTGTTTGAATGCAATGAAGTGGGAATTTATGGTGGTTTAGTGGAGATGTAAATGAGTTAGGTGAATTGAATCAAGATGAGATGTGAGTTAATGTGAAGTTGGAACGATCAAGAATGAGAAAAGAAAGAGGAAGATGAAGAGATAGACCAAAAATCTGGAAAATTCCATCATCTTCATGCACGTGTCGACCTATATTGACTTATGTGTCGACACATGTGACTTATGCGTCGACACATACAGAACTGAAAAACTCATTAATTGAAACATTGACACATGTGTCGACCTATACGACACATGTGTCGACTCATACTGAACCAAAAAGCAATTATTTGAATTAATTGATCATGTATTGACGTATACATATCATACGTCGACTCATGATACATAAATAAATAATTTTTTTTGAGAAATAAGGTTTTTGGATGTCTGGAGAGACAAAAGTTGACTCATGCTTGACTAACAATGAAATGCATATGAAAAATAATCATGTTTCATGGTAATGTAACAATAAACACAATACATAAAAGCACACAATAGAGAAATACATGTGAGGAAATTAGAAAGAGGTCACTATAAACATGTAAGTTGAAAACACATAGTTTGTCAATTAGAAATTTTCGAACGTAAACACTTGTATCATGTATCACACATCGAGTATATCACATATCTTTGAGCAATAAAAGGTAAAAGAATGAACTTGCGAACAAAGAGAAAATAGAAACGACACAACCTCACTGTTTAACAAGATGGAGGATGCACTATGTATCTAACGAAGAACCTCCGAACGGAAGTTGAAAAAAATGCAATGACGTGCCATAAGATCTTTTAAACATCAACGTTTTCATCACTTTTCTCTTTGATGAAGTATCACATATCTTTCACCACTTTAGGAATACTTATTGATGCTTTCATGGTATCCACATCCTTTTCTATTATCACTAAGTTAATAAAATTTGGATATGTCACTTATCATGTGCCTTGAGATGCTATAAATGGATCTAATATTCTCTTTGTAGGCCAAGACATATTTCCTACACAATCAATAAGATGAACTAGATATCCAATCTTCATTAGATCCTTAAGGGTAAGTAACACTATGGTTGTATTTATGCAACCATTGATAAATGCCATCAGGAACCAAAAAATTCCTAAATTTTCATTTGGCAATGGTGTGACCTTTCACACAACAATAGTGACAGGTCGAATTAAGATGAGATGAACTCTTATCCTTTGATACCTTCTCAACAAATATATACCTCCTATAAGGATTATGAGCAGGTAAATTCTATTTTGAGATATCAATTGAAAAATTTATCTTTGGTTTTAAATCTTTGTTAAGTTTGGTCTTTAGAGATCTAACCTCTTTTTGTCAAATATAACAAGTATCACAACCAAAGTTAAAACATGAAATTTTTTTCATCTTTATCGTTTACCTTTTAAATATCTATAATATGACACCTTAGAGCCTCCATTGCTTTTGGATTTCATCAACCTTAGATTCCAAATAGGAAAATACCATTTTGTTTGAAGCAAGCATTTTGAAAGATTTTATAGCATTTTTATGTAGATTTTCAAAAGCGTTCAATAAATCGAAATGAGACAATTCATTATTATTAGAAACACATTTAGAAAGATTTACATCATTTTTCTTTTCTTTAAAATAATAACCTGAGAGACATAATTCATCATGCTTTGATGGCTTAGCTTCCTTTTTCTTCTTTTCATGATAATGAGGTGATAGACAAACTTCATCATACTTTGATAGTTTGTCTTCCTTGTTCTTCTTTTCATTATACCAAGCCGAGAGACAAATGGACATTGTTTCTTCATTATCACTAGAGTCTTCATCATCTGAGGACTCAACATCACTTCCCCAAGCCACATAAGCTCTTATAGATTTCCTAAAATTCATATTTTTGCCTTTCTCTTCGTCTTTTTTCAAGAGATAGAAACTTCGGCCTATAATGACTCGATGTTTCATAATTGTAGCATATACGTCTAGACTTTTCTTTGTTGATATCTTCTTCCTTTAAAGACGAGGATTGTATTCTACACCATGTGAGATTTTTGTCGGAGTGGCCTACTCCATTCTTTCTCATATATCTATTATACCTTTTTACGAATAGTCCAATTTCTTCTTCATCATCTGACTTTTCGTTGTCACTATCATCAATATCAACTTGCTCGTTTGTTGAGAACTTAGAACTAGAAGTCTTTAGAGAAATGGACTTCTTTTCAATCTCATTCTCTTTGCCTTTTTCTTTCTTCAACTTTTTCTCATATTTCTTCTCATATTTTCCCAAACAATTGAGTTCTTGTTTGTGTTCCTCAAACTTACCGAACAATGTAGTAAGATCAAGAGTTATTAGATAATTGATTTTCTTGATCGCGGTGATCATTGATTGCTAATTTCTAATAAGACATCTCAAAACTTTATTAGTAGCAATTTTATTGAGAACCGATGTATGACATCAACAAGGACCATGCAAACACGAGTTATCTGAACAAACCCTCAAAGTCTAGCAAAACTTCAAATAAATACTTTTCATGTTTCAATTTCAAATATAAACAATTATTTTTATTCTGTAATATTAATTTTCAATATATTTTATTTTGTAGAAAATATATTATATTTCATTGCATTTTTATAATATTGATATTAATAATTTTTTATCATTATAATTTGAATATATAAAAACAAACCGATCTAAAAATAAACAGAATTAGATTTCACTTTGTTTAATTCATATTGAACTTTCATGTTATGTGAATTTGTTAAATCTCTTGTTTGTGTAATCATAGATTAGATATTATGGGACTCGAAGATGAATATTGATATCAGGATTATATGACTTGAACTTTAGACTAAAATCATGATCTAGAAATTGGTTTAATTAATTAATTGCGATCCTTGTATCTTGATATGGAACATTAACCATAATAGAATAATTTACGGATTTGTATCCTCTTAATTCAAATCTATCTCAATCTATTTTATAACCTAACAAAAAATCCTTATTTGTCACCCTAATAAAAACCGCTGTTAGTAAAAAAAGAGTTATTTATTCTTAAGTGAATTAAATCTATTTATTAAATGTTGTTTACTATTTAAACAAATCTTAATCTCACAAAATCTATTTTATACAACAACCTCTTATATAAAATCTTAACCGCCTAATTACATTAATAATTATTCCGTATATCTAAACCATTCAAATAATTTGATCTCAAATACAAACACTCAATCTTTTCACTATATAAGAAACCATTGTGTTTTTCTTCGTATCCCAAAAAACAAATCATATATCTGTTCTCAAATTTTCTTTTAATCATAATCATGCGTCCTCCAATGAAGAGAGTCAATTATAAAATTGGAGACAAAGTAGAAGTATGCAGTAGAGAAGAAGGGTTTATTGGTTCTTACTTTAAAGCTACAATTGTTTCGTGTCTTCAAAATGAGAAATTTATGATTCGCTACGAGAATTTATTATTAGATGATGAGTCCGGACCTCTCATAGAAACAATTAGTCGAAGAGAGCTCCGTCCATTACCACCACGTGTTCGCAATCCACCCGAGTTCCACTTCAACCAAAAAGTAGATGTTTTTGATAATGATGGTTGGTGGTTAGGAGAAATCACTAGTGAGAAAACCCTCTCCGAAAATTATTATTATTACAATGTGTATTTTAACACTACTGATCAAACAATTTACTATCCTTGTGATCGGATTAGGATTCATCATGAATGGATTTATGGAGACTGGATCTTAGAAAGATAATTCATGTCATCTTCATCACAGATACTTTTCACATTAAGTTTATAATTCATGTCATCCATGGAAGTTGAGCATCATAATGCTTATATCTCTTTAATTTGACGAATAGAGAATAAAGTTAATAATAATGACTTAATATTACTACTGATAATAATATACTAGTATGAATTGTAGTTTTTGGTGACTATCATACTACGATTCTTTTGTGACTTGTATGAATTTGACTTTTAAAAGAAACACGAATTATAATTTTTTTTTCTATGTTAATAAATTATATCTGTCAACTAAATATTTGTATGGGTTCAAATTTTTTTCTTGAATACGAATAACTAGACACTACAACATAAAAAAGAAAGATTTTATCTTAGATGAATGTCGAGATAATGTCAGAAATTGGAATCACTTGTTAGTGAATAATGAAAGGTTTGAGTGTGAAGAGTTAGAGAGAGATTGGAATCACTTGTCGGTGAACAATGAAAGGTTTGAGTGTGAAGAGTTAGAGAGAGAAATAATTGAGAGTGTAAAATTTTTATTTTATTTCATTTCATTTACATTAACAAACATACCTCTAAAGTGTATATGTATAAGTGATTGGGATGTAAATCATCAAGTCAAATAAGAGAAAAAGCAAAAACTTTGACATGTAATCAATTACAGTTGTTAAATAATAGAAAATAACAAACAGTTGTCACCGATTACCGTGAATGTGTAACCGGTTATGCCAACTTCAAAAACACTTTTTCTTCAGTTTATTGACTTATTTTTATGACTGTAATCGATTACACCACATATAAATCGGCTACAAGACTTGAAAAATATTCAAAATCTCTTAACGCACCACTTTATTTCAAGTGCTCAAAGTCTTCCATTCTCATCTCATCTTCAACCTTTTGAACTCATCATTTGTGACTCCCTTAGTCAATAAATCAACCACTTATTCTTCACTTCTACAATATCCCAACATTAACTTTCCTTCACTAACAAGTTTCCTCAAGTAGTGAAATTTCATTTCAATATGCTTGCTCCTCCCATATGTAATTGGGTTCTTAGCAAAATTAATCTCGGAAACGTTATCAACCAAGAGCGTAACAGCCTCACTATCATTGGTGCCCAACTCTTTCAATAGATTCATTACCCACACAGCTTGGCACACACATAACGAAGCAGAAATATACTTGTCCTCACAAGACGAGAATGCACTACAAAAAAAAGGTCATCCACCACGGTCAGAAAACTGCAGTTATATGCAAAATAACAGTTATTGTAAGCTTTGGCCACGAATAAGTGACAGTGGGATATGAAGCCGTGGCTTAAATTATACGCCACGATTTTCAAGTTTATGTCACGTTTTCTAAACATTTGTGGCTTGAATAGGCCACAATTTAAGTATCTAGGTTAGGACCGCGGTTTAACTTGCGCCTTGGTTATTAACAGTGGCTGAATCTAACCACAATTCTTATTTAATGTATAGCCTACGGTTTAGTTGCCTAGATTTAGCCACGATTTGTTTATGGCCACTAATTAAAACCACGGCTAAATTTTCCTCACGATTTTACACCATTTAAGTAGGTCACTGTTTCTTTGTGCCGCATAGTTGTGACGATGGTGTCTAATAAATCGCAAAAATATAGATAAGTTTTGATATTATCATTCTTAAACAAAACCAAATTTCTCTTGAGAAAGAGTCGTCCCAAATTCAAAACAAAAGTTCTAAGAGATAGATAATATAAAACACAACGCTAGTATAAAAAGGTTAATTTACACCCGTTTTTTATTAAATTACACCCACTAAACATCAATCAAAAGAGAATATCTAGAAACAAATAATCCATCGGGGACTTGGTCACCAATAGCAAGATGCACGATACCCAAGAAGTAATTCATATATAGACAATTTTTTCTATATATGTTTCTGTTTCATTGTTAAGAGTAGTTGCGCTTCGTACCCTACACTCCTAATCGAGACTGCAGCCAAATAATTGCAACATGAATTTGTTAAATAATCATAACAGAATCAACATAAGCCCCTACAGGGCATGATATTCATTCAACCTTCGTCAACCTATCATGTCCAAATACATGTCCGAGTCATGCTATAATCCATAATTCAAACATAGGCAACACAAGATCAAATTCTAACACAATTTCATATGCAAATTCAACCCACCATTAACTCATCATCAAGATGCTCATGGTCTAAACAATTATGCAAAACAATGCAACAAAGTCCTTCAACATTCAATTATCTGAACCAAAACATATCACCAACCTGCAACTAAACCAGACCAGTTCAGCTCACACTTGCAGCCTGTCTAATACCTGTGTAAAAGCATCATACATCAAGTCATGTCCAAATTCGACTTAAGGTGACCTAAGAAGCACATCAGAAAATTGAACTGTAACTAAATCACACTTATGTTGTTACTTGTTAGCTTGCAATGCATATGATAGCAGTAATTACGTACGTTTTTTTGCAGATAGAAAATTATAGTATCTTACAATCACAGTGTGAAATCCAGCTACTTTTCCATTTGCAACATTTCTAAGACTGTCATCTAAGACACAATTCTAGCTACATAGTTTTTACTGCATAGTTATGCAGAAAATTGATAGGTACGCCACCAAATGAATCAAAGAAAAAATTGCAATAAATAAAACACACCACATGAATCAATCAATGATGAAATAAAAAAGAGAAAAACTTACCGAAAACATGGGTTACGGGGTTGAGATGGAAAGGATAAGGTAGGGAATAGAAAACATGAGGAAAAAATTTAGAAAAGAAAAGTATTTATTAAAATATTATTAAATTAAAATTGACTTATGAAAGAGGGAAAGGGAAGATTGATCTGTGTGTTTTAGAGGGAAATCAAAATTGGTTTAGTTTGGATTGATAGGGAAACTGAAAATATTCAAGATAATTATATTTATAACTTAATTAAATAAGTTTTAATTAACTTTATATTTATTTAATTTAATTATTTGTAATTTTGGAGTATTTAATTTTTTTTTAAATAAAATAAATAAATATATTAGAAAGGGATTATTTTCCTTACAATTTTAGTTTATATGAAATTTTGATGTAATTTAATATTTTGTTTTAATATAAAATTGATATTTATTTTAAATTTAAGCTACATTATTATTAATAAGAAATTTAAATTTAAATTGAAGTGAAAATTATAATGCTGCGTTTTTTTTTTTTTTGTGGCTTAAAATATTCAGAGTTTGTTAACTGTGGCTTAAATATAAGTGTGATTTTGTAACCGTAGAAATTGAAGAAAAGGCCACAGTTTTACACTCCGGATTCAATATTTCAAAACATATGTCTACGTTTTGAAAACCCTGGCCAAAGCTTGTATGTGGCCACAGTTTTTGAGTTGTGGAAAAATATAGTATGGCCGTAGGCCAAAAATGTTATAGTGATGCAACTACCGGCTCCTTCTTCGAACACCATGAAATTGGTGTTCCACCAAACATAAAGATGTATCCAGCTGTAAACTTTCAATAATTATAATCGGTAAAATTGAGAATATGTATCTCCTGCTCTTATCCTTTACTTAAAGGAGAATTATGTAGCCAATAAATTCTTTGACATATCTTAGAATCCTCTTGACTAGTGCCAAGTGAGAAACCTTTGATTTCTCCATGAATCTACTCGTAATACCGACACTAAATGCCAAATTCGGCCGCGTATTGCACAAGTAACGTAAAGATACAGTCAATCTTCTATATTAAGTTGGATCAATGTTTTGCTCTTCTCCATTCTTTGACAGTTTCATCATTGGTTCAAATGGAGTAATGGAAGCATTACAATGCTCCATTTCACACTTCTTCAATATCTCAATAGCATATCTTCATTGATGTATGAGCAGTCCCCTTTCAGACTTGTGGAGCTCAATGCCAAGGAAGTATTTTATGATATATATCAAGGTCGCTAATCTCGAATTCTTTCATAAGTTCACTCTTGAACTTGGAAATACTCTTCTCGTTACTTGCGTAATCAACAAATCATCTACATATAAACAAAGAATGGCCACTCCTTCACTTGTATTTGTCTTCACATATACAATATATTCTTATACATATTTCTTAAAGCCAATCTCAATTAGGAAACCATATATCATTTTGTTCCAAGCTCTTGGAGCTTGTTTCCAACCATATATCACTTTTCTTAACTTGTAGAACCTTCCTTTTTGGTTTTCACAACAAAACTTGGGGGTGTTCTACATACACTTCTTCTTCAAGTGGTTCGTTCAAAAACGCATATTTGACATTTATTTGATAGATGTACCCACACAGATACCCTAATTCGTGCAGCAGCCTGGAGGATCCAACACCCCACTTCCTACACAGATGCCCCCATCCATCCAGCAGCCTGGAGGATCCACCTCTTCACGACCCACACAGACTGGTCGCACCCCATATCCCGCACATGTACCTGCATCTGATGATCATGCAGAGTCGGATGATGACGATCTTGGTGTGGACGATGATCATATAGATGGGAGAGATCTTCGAGGGGATGATGATCCGAGTGAGATTCATACCATTGATGGGAGATTTTGGATTTTCCCTGAAAGGAACTCGTAAGTTTCTTATTTATTGATTTTTATTTATAAGTACACATTTCCATTTTTAATATAACTTTATATACTTAATTATGCTAATTCAATTATTGTTATTTTAGTTTCGGGCCGAGTCGGACTGCTGCTAGGGTTATAAATTATATAATTCAGCAGAATTATACAAAATTTTTGAAGAGTTTTAGAGAAATTTCCGATAAAGACGAATGATTTAAGCAATTTCAAGTATAATTAATTTATTTCTTAAGTTATTTTTATTTAAATGACCTTTTCATTATTGTTATAATTTATCTAACTATTTATTTTAATGTCATACAATATTGCAGGCGAAATTGTTTGGGATCCACTGAACCATAACAAAGTAAAAAAAAAATATTTTGGCAGGAGTTCAAGACGACTTTCTGACATGCTACGACGTGTTAGAGAGAATTGACAACTTTTGGGCATTCATCCCAAATGGATAGGAAAAGAAGTTTTTGAACAGATTATTAAGTATTGGGAATCAGATGAATTTAAGGCTAAATCTGAAAATGCAAAGAAGATGAGGGCATCGGAAAAAGGGGGTTGTCTTAATGCTGTTGGAAGTATTAGTATTGTTGAGCATGCTCGACGCATGGTAATTATTACCACTTTTTAAAGTCATATTTGGATTTATAACATATATTATTAATTTAAGTTAATTTTTTTATTTAGGCTAAGCGTTTGGGGAGACAACCATTGATGACTGAGCTGGTTATCAAAACTCGGACAAAGAAATCAGGAGGATTTATTGACGAGCGTACAAAAAAATCCCTGGTAAGTAAATTTATGTTTATATATATTTTTTAAGCAATTTTGTGATGTGATTTTCATGTAGCAAGTGAGATGTTGTGGCGTGAAAATTGAGTGGCAACTGATAAGTTGTGGCGTTACAATCACGTGGCTATTTGTTTCTTATTTTTTTTATTTAATTTAATTTCATTAATTTTACTTATATATTTAACTTGATTTTTTTATTGTATGTGTAGGAGGATTATCAGGCCTTGCTTGTAGAATTTCTGACCCATAATCCTCAGTATACTCCTCCTCCGAGAAAACCGGTTCATCCAGATGTGGATTTCTATATTTGGAGTCAAGTTGTTGGGGGAAAGGGGCCTAACGGATGTTTTTTTTGTGGTGGAAATTTGGCGGGCACCTTGAGGAGTGGGGATAGAAATCTGTATCAGAGAGCTGCGGACGGTGAAGGAGGGTCACGTCAAATAAATTTGACATCAGATCAGTTAGAACTAGTAAGACAATTGACTAGACGCGAGTTTGAAGAACGTGAGGCAGTATTGAAGGCTCAAATGGAGGCAATGAGGGGTGAACATAATAGAGAAATGGAGGCAATGACGAAGAGGCAGGCTGATATGGAGGAGCAAATGCGACAATTTATGCAAGTATTTGGTAGAAATCTCAACAGTGGTGGCCAAAATAATAACCACAAAAAAAATGATGACTTTCTTCGCGACTTTTCTGACGACTCGAATGATCCTTCTGCTTAGTTTTATTTTTATTTTCTATTTAG